GGGTTTGCTTTTCCAAATTTTAAGGAAAACATTCCAGCGCTGTCCAGATTCTGTTCAGACCCGTCGATCGTTATGAAAATTTGATTTTCTTGTAAATCGCTTAATGTTTTTCAATGAAACCAATTTTATTTGAAAGCTAACTCCTTAAGGAAAATTTTGACCTAAAATAGAGGTCAAGAATAATTTTATACATTTTTCTGGAATTTTTGAAAGTGGGCTATAAAAGCAGTTTCTAGGGTAGATGTCCAAAACAAGAAGATTTATAAGAAAAGGGTTCCACCCAAAGGAAAGCTTTCGTTTCTTTTGTGAAGAAAACATGCTAACCAGCATATATTTAACTCAAAAAGTTTGCTTGAAGGCGTGTCCTTGGAAAGTTGAGAAATTGATATGGAGAAAAAGATGGTTTTGTACCGAGATAGGAAAATACAAAAGAGATAGAATCAATACTCAACTCTTAGCATTTTTAATACAAGTAACTAATAAATAACAGATCTGAAACATTATCTAGAACCCTAAGACATGTATTTGAAAAAGGGAAAATGAAAGAGAAGGTTGTGTTGTGGCTTACATGTTAAGCTTTGAACAAGATGGATCTCTTCTCCTTTCCTCTGCCTCTCAAAATTCCTCTCTTGTTCTCTTTCCTCTCCTTAGGTCGAATGTGGAAGTGTGAGAGTGTTTCTTGGTGATATTTATAGGCAACCTTGGTGTAGTGGGTATTGAAAGGTTGTCATTATAGCCTACTAGTTAGGATATGAAGGAACCACTACTTGAAAAATGAAAGGACCCTAGCCCACTAGTTAGGTTATGAATGAACCACTACTTTGAGATGTAAATGAACACTAATTGATATTACATGAACACTAAACACTAATTGATATTAAATGAACACTAACTAGAATTAAATGAACACTAGTTAGACTATGAATGGACACTAGTTGGAATATGAATGGCCACTATTAAGGATATTCCTGTTTTGATAAAACAACAAAAACAATATTAATCAACAAGATTCGAAATAATTCTCATAACTGAGGGGCTTTAAGCAAATAATTAAAACCTTTTTTTTTGTTTTTAAAGAGAAAACATTTTTCAAGGCCTTACAACCTATCCCCCTTAAAACAATTTCGTCCCCGAAATTCAACTATATACTGCCTTCGAAAAGCTCGGGGTAGTTTGCCTTCACCCAATCTTGGCGTTCCCAAGTAGATTCCTCAATTCCCGATGACGCCATAGCACTTTTACAAAGTGAACCGTTTTGCCTCTAAGGTTCTTCTCTTGGCTATCGTGTATTGCTACCGGTCCTTCTTTAAATGTAGCATCTTTGTCAAGACTGATTTCGTCCCATTTGAGGACGTGCGATGAGTCGGCGATGTATTTTCTCAACATAGATACATGGAAGACGTCGTGTATCCCTGCTAACTACGGAGGTAGAGCTAGTCTATATGCTATTTCACCCACTCTCACCCACTCTTTCCAATACCTCAAAAGGCCCAATATATCGTGGTGACAGTTTTCCTTTTTTCCCGAAACGTACTACTCCACGCCTAGGTTGCACCTTTAGGAAGACGTGATTGCCTACTTCAAATATCAATGGCCTTCTCCTCCTATCTGCATAGTTCTTCTGACGGTCTTGAGCAGTCTTTAACCATTGTTGGATCAATTTGACCTTCTTAATAGTTTCTAGAACAAGTTCAGGTCCTATCAGATTTGCATCTCCCACTTCCGCCCAACAAATCGGCGATCTACATGGTCGTCTATATAATGCTTCAAAGGGTGCCATACCAATGCTAGCTTGGAAGCTATTGTTATAGGCGAACTCAGTTAGGGGTAGGTGTCGTTCCCAACTTCCTTGAAAATCCATTGCACACACTCTCAACATATCTTCGAGTGTCTGGATGGTGCGTTCAGATTGTCCATCCGTCTGCCGGTGAAAGGCAGTGCTAAAACATAACTCAGTACCAAGAGCTTCCCCAGAATCGACAGGTGAACCGAGGATCATGGTCTGACACAATAAATACTGGGATTCCATGTAGTCGAATGATCTCGCCAATGTAGAGCCTGCACATGGATTCTAAAGTGTCGGTCATCCTATAAGGTAAGAAATCTGCTGACTTGGTGAGGCGATCCACTATTACCCATATAGCATTACGCCCTCTAGGCGACTTAGGCAAACCTGTGACAAAGTCCATTGTCATGTACTCCCACTTCCATTCGGCTATTGGTAGAGGTTGCAACATTCCCCCTGGTTTTTGATGCTCCGCCTTCACTTGTTGGCATGTTAGACATTTTGCCATGAATTTAGCCACCTCCTTCTTAATTCCATTTCACCAATACTGCCTTTTTAAATCTTGGTACATTTTAGTCTCTCCTGGATGTACTGCAAATGCAGAATAATGACATTCCTTAAGTACCTTTTCTCGAAGTAACTCGTCACCTGGTACAAACAATCTACCTCGGTATCTTAAACTCCCATCGGGGTGAATTTCCCAGTTGAGCATGGGTTCTCCTGATTCCAGACGTCCCTTGATATAGGCTACCTCTTGATCGTGCTTCTGGGCCTCCATGATCTCATTCATCAACTTAGGCATCACCTTTTGTGCACTAAGATATGCGTTTGCATCTTGAGATTCTATTTGGATCCCGAACTCATTGAGTGTCTTAACCATATCCCACTCTTTGATGGAGATCCTAGCCATCATCCCTTTGCTCTTACGACTGAGAGCATCTGCTACTACATTGGCTTTACCAGAATGATATGAGAGAGTGAACTGGAAATCCTCAAGATACTCCATCCATCGTCTCTGTCTCAAGTTGAGGTCCTTCTGTGTAAATAGATACTTCAAACTCTTGTGATTTGTGAAAATCTTGAATTGTTCCCCATACAGGTAATTTCGCCATTGCTTTAGGGCAAAAACTACGGCTGCTAACTCCAGGTCATGTGTTGGGTAGTTACGCTCATGAGGTTTCAACTGCCTGGATCCATACACGACTATCTTTCCATTCTGCATGAGCATGCACCCTAACCCTTCTCTAGACGCATCGCAATACACAGTATACCTTACTTCTCGTTCTGGGATGGTCAAAATTAGTACACTAGTTAACCTCTTCTTTAACTCTTGAAAGGATTTTTCGCAAGCTTCGTCCCACTCATACTTTACTCTTTTTTGCGTCAAACGAGTCGTTGGTTTGGCTAGTTTGGAGAAATCTTGGATGAACCTCCGGTAATAACCAGCCAATCCTAAGAAACTGCGAATTTCTGACACAATTTTTGGTTGTTTCCAGTCTAATACTGCCTCCACCTTGTTTGGATCCACCGCAATCCCATTTTCTGATACTACATGCCCTAAGAATTTTACTTCATTCAACCAGAACTCACATTTGCTTGCCTTGGCATATAAACGATTATCCCTAAGAACTTGAAGGACAGTCCTTAAATGTTGCTCATGCTCTTCTTCAAATCTTGAATATACCAAGATGTCATCAATAAATACTACCACAAACTAATCGAGGTATGGTCTAAAGATCTTATTCATTAGGCTCATGAATACTGCCGGTGCATTGGTTAGTCTGAAGGGCATTACTATGAACTCATTGTGACCATATCTAGTACGAAAGGCAGTTTTTGGTATGTCCTCCTCCTTGACTCGTAGTTGATGGTAACCTGACCTGAGATCGATCTTTGAATAGCACCCTGAGTCTCTAAGTTGGTCAAAAAGGTCATCAATCCTTGGGAGTGGGTATCGGTTTTTAATCGTGACTCGATTAAGTCGACGGTAATCTATGCATAGCCTCAACGACCCATCCTTCTTCTTAACAAACAACACGGGTGCTCCCCATGGCGAAATACTTGGCCTAATGAATCCTCTCTCGAGCAATTCCTGTAGTTGTGTCTTCAATTCTCGTAATTCTGCTAGTGCCATACGATACGGGGCCATGGATATTGGGGTGGTTCCAGGTTGTAGCTCGATGCTCAAATCTACTTCCCGGGTTGGTGGCAATCCCGTTAACTCCGTAGGAAATACATCTGCATATTCACATACTATGCGCGGATGTTTTAATTCTCCTTGGCCTTCCTCATTCAAAATCAGACTTGCTATCCTACCCTCAATTTGATCGAACCACTACGTCCTATGTTTTGTTGAAGCCATAGGGTCTTGTCTATCCCCCTTAAACTAGAAACGAGTTCCATCTAGTGTGTGAGCTACCACTTTCCTCTGATGACAGTTGATCACTGCTTGGTGGGCAGACAACCAGTCCATGCCCAAAATAATATCGAAGTCTGACATTTCCATGACACGAAGGTCGCACGTTAAGTGTAGGTTTGACATTCCTATCTTACAATCCTTACAGATCAATCATATCCGAATGCATCCTCCCATAGGTGACATTACATTTAAGGCAGTTTCTAAGGGTTCACATACAAGTCCTAATGACTGAGCGCAAGCAGAGGATATAAAGGAATGTGATGCACCAGTATCAAATAAAACATGCACCCAAGAATTGTATAATACTAAATTACCCTCAATAACAGACGGGTTTGCTTCTTCCTCTTGCAAGGCAAAGACTCTGCCGGTTGCCTTCTGGTTGCCACTGGTCTTGGTGTTTTGAGTTCCCCCATTCTTCTGGTGCTGCAGTCCAGTCGATCCTGTCTTGTTCGTCCAAGGCTTCTGCCCACCTAATGCTTAGGCATTTGCTCTGGAACCTCCTCCTTGGTACCTAGATGGAGGGAGTTGGGGGCATTCGCTCTTTTCGTGCCCTAATTGTTGGCAATGAATGCACTGGATTTGTCCCGCCGGCCTTTGTTGATAGCCTTCTCTCTGGATCTGTTGCTGTTATGGTTATGGTCTGGAGTAGGGCTTTGGCGTCATGTTTCCTTTTTGGTTCCTCTGAGGTCCAACAGACGTCTGACTCCCTCTCCTCTTGTTCCAAGCCTTTCTAGCGTCTATTACTTCCCTCTCAGACTCTAACGCCGTATCCAGCACCTCAGCAAATGTGGGGAGTCATTGCGGAAGACCTCTTCCCCTGATTGTAAGGCCCAACCCCCACTCGAACATCCTTGCCTTCTCTTTATCATTTGCTACAAATCTAATTGCGTAACGGGCTAGTTCTTCAAATTTTGCAGCATACTGGGTCACGGTCATATTTCCTTGTTCCAGGTTTTGGAATTCCTTGACTCGCTCTCGACGGACCGTATTTGGAAAATATTTATTTAGGAACAGTTCCCTGAACTGGTTCCATGATAGGCTCGCTACATCACGAGTGTTCTTGATTAACTCCCACCAGTGGTCAGCCTCATCATCAAGCTCGAATACTGCCAAAGCTATTCTATCAGCAGCCTCGGTTATGCCCATGGTGTCTAGCATTTTCTCTATCTGCTGAAGCCAGTTTTCAGCTACCTTTGGGTTCGGCACACCAGTGAACTTTGGGGGCCTTTGCTTTCGAAACTTAGAAAAGAGTCGAGTCCTCTCATTCTGCTGATTGTTCCTTTCTTGCCCTAATCCCTCCAAAATTTGATGTCCTGGATTATTAGAAATGTCAGCCCCTGTGGGGACGGGTCCGCGTTGGTTTCTGGGGTGGTTTCGTGCGTTGTTGCTGGTTCCGGCAAAGTCATTAGCGCGCGTGTCCACCATTCTGTTCATGGCACATGGTGAGTTGGTTCCAGTTTTAGAAAATCTTACTATTTAGATTTGAAATGAAAGTTCAGTTTCCTTAGTGTGTACTAAAACAAATAACAGTCAACAACATAGATCAACACATCATTCGTATATTATAATAGGCATCATTCCAAAAGGGCTCCTAATCGGAGTTACATTTAAAGGGCATCTACACATTACAAAGTTCAGGCTATCTTATTCTAAGGATCCCATCAGCGGATCTTACAAAAGTCTAGCGTTACTATTTCTCGAACTAGTTCTCGTTTCCTGACCAATCAAAGTCTTTTTCTGGATCTTCCTCAGCGGCGTCAATGGCTTGGTTCGGAGAGCGGGGGGTGTATGTTGGTGAGGGGGGATTGTGTTCAGACAACACCTCTATAGGGTAAGCTGGGGTTACTCCATTCTATTCTGGTGGTTGCTCTATATTCCTTGGTTGATTGTTGCTTGGCCCCTGATAACAAGATGCGTAGCTTTCAGCCTGAGTCGGTGGTCGGTGGTATGCTATGGTGGTCAAAGTTCGGTGTATCAAGCAGTCTATCCTCTGATCATCTTGCTCCATTTGGACCGCCTACTTCGCTACCTGGCTCAAAAATTGTAGGCGGTGCCGCACCAGAGACCTCTTCTGCTCCCACATATAGCGGGAGTACTCCTTTTCCACCTTACGTATCTCCATTCTGAGCATTTCCTCGGCGGCACTCACACAGCGTCGGCGGCTAAAGTTGGGGCTGACAGACATGGCCCTCCTTCCTTGCATACGGAAAGTACCCCACGAGTCGAGACTGATATCGCGTCCTGGATAGTCTCCCGCTGACATCCTAAGGTGGAAAAAGATTTTTATTTGTTAGTCTACCTTAAATATAGTAGCGTGATAGATAAAATAAGATAAAGGGGTAAGGGCTTCTAGAGTCGCATATTAGGTTGCGTGGGTTAAGGGTTGAACCTAGACTCTGATACCAAGTTGTAACGCCCCGATATTACACTATTGATTGTAGCCAAGGGAGAGTCACTGTTAAGGTGTATACGTCTACTTCTACAAAATACCAATACATAACAACCATAATAATATTAATTTCAAAAGCTTGTTCCATTACATTACATTCCAAAGAAAATTTAAATCTACATACGAGTCTTACAAAATATTAAAAGAGAAATTTTTAACTTTTCTAAGATAGCCAAAGGTCTTCGAATGTTTCAGGCTCGTCGTCTCCAGCTATATGTTCCTCTTCGGCACCTGGCATAACACGCCGTGAGCTTTGAATGCCCAGTAAACACACACACATCCCAACCCTTTTTCCCGAGTCCAATACACAATCACAAATATAACATCAAGTAGTAGAGCATGATACACAACATAACAAATAAATAAATGGTTACAAGTTAACTGTTAGTAAACTAGAAATCCTCCAAAGAGATTTCGTCCTCCCAACCACAAGAATCGGACTCGGATTATTCGGTATGCCCCTTCTTTTGCTGCTTGCTTTGTTGCAGAACTAACCTCGGATGCCTACCATCGATTATATACCGCATAGCGCCAACCGCAGGGCCTCAAAAGAGACGGTGAAATAGGGCCTTGCCCAAAACCTTCCTCACACCAAACCACCTAGGGTCCGAATACAACCGCTCCGTTCAAGGGTTCCGGAAACCACTTGCGCAAGACTTTAACTTCCAACTAGGGACGCATCCCAACAACCATATAACACATTTTCTCATCTTTCCATTACTCAAGTGCTCGAAAACCCAATACGTTCCCAATTAGGTTTCCCGTTGAGTTAAAAGTTTTAAGTCAAGGTTAGTCCAACTTACAAGATAATAATACCCACATAAACATGCATCCTTAAGATGAGAAAGATAAATAACATAACACATAAAATATCTTGCCAAGATATGATCATAACACATTTTCATGAATACCAGGACATAAAACATCCATACATACCAAATATTTCCAGATTTAATATCACATAAAGATTAAAATGAAAGGCTAGTTTAGATCCTTCACTGGACTCGGTCTTCCTATGATTCGTAGAGAATTTGATCTAGTTTCTAGAACATTTTTCGGAAATGGGTTTGCTTTTCCAGATTTTAAGTTATTTAGAAAACATTCCAGCGCTGTCCAGATTCTGTCCAGACCCGTCGATCGTTATGAAAATTTGATTTTCTTGCAAACCGCTTAATGTTTTTCAATGAAACCAATTTTATTTGAAAGCTAACTCCTTGAGGAAAATTTTGACCTAAAATAGAGGTCAAGAATAATTTTATACATTTTTTTGGAATTTTTGAAAGTAGGCTGTAAAAACAGTTTCTAGGGTAGATGTCCAAAACAAGAAGATTTATAAGAAAATGGTTCCACCCAAAGGGAAGTTTTCATTTCTTTTGTGAAGAAAACATGCTAACCAGCATACATTTAACTCAAAAATTTTTCTTGAAGGTGTGTCCTTGGAAAGTTGGGAAATTGATATGGAGAAAAAGATGGTTTTGTACCGAGATAGGAAAATACAAAAGAGATAGAATCAATACTCAACTCTTAGCATTTTTAACACAAGTAACTAATAAATAACAGATCTGAAGCATTATCTAGAACCCTAAGACATGTATTTGAAAAGGAAAAATGAAAGAGAAGGTTGTGTTGTGGCTTACATACTAAGCTTTGAACAAGATGGCTCTCTTCTCCCTTCCTCTTCCTCTCAAAATTCCTCTCTTGTTCTCTTTCCTCTCCTTAGGTCGAATGTGGAAGTGTGAGAGTGTTGCTTGGTGATATTTATAGGCAACCTTGGTGTAGTGGGTATTGAAAGGTTGTCATTATAGCCTACTAGTTAGGATATGAAGGAACCACTACTTGAAAAATGAAAGGACCCTAGCCCACTAGTTAGGTTATGAATGAACCACTACTTTGAGATTTAAATGAACACTAATTGATATTAAATGAACACTAAATACTAATTGATATTAAATGAACACTAACTAGAATTAAATGAACACTAGTTAGACTATGAATGGACACTAGTTGGAATATGAATGGCCACTATTAAGGATATTCCTGTTTTGATAAAACAACAAAAACAATATTAATTAACAAGATTCGAAATAATTCTCATAACTGATGGGCTTTAAGCAAATAATTAAAACCTTTTTTTTTTTTTTGTTTTTAAAGAGAAAATATTTTTCAGGGCTTCACATATCCTCCACCGATAGCCCAACACATATATTTCTAAACAGATATACAATCTCCAAGACAGATGAATTATTCAAATTTCCATAGGTGAGAGATAACACGTATCCAACTCTATCATTTATATAAACATTCATTTAATTTATATTCTCAATATCAATTTCATTTATTTATACAAAATAACTATTTGAGATATTTTAGGGCAAAACTCTCTCTTCTTCCAAAATCCATCCCGGGTATCAAAATCAACAAATTTTATCACAACACGCCCTTACATTTACTCTCATAACCATTTTTAATACATACATTTAAAAACCTCTCTTTTGATTTTAAACCAAAACCCTAGGTTTGTTCAAAATCATTCCAAATTCTAATATTCTTTACACATCAACAAATAACTAAGTTAAAACTCATAGAAGAGTGTAGAAAGTCCTTACTGTAGACGGGCGCCCGCGTGGGCCTCACGCTACAGTTCGGACTCGCGATTTTTGTTGTCGCGGTTCTTAATCTGAACCAAAGAGTCCAAATCCGGCAAATCGTTTTGAGAAACAGATTTTTTGAAAAGATGTGCCAAACATGGACTGCTTTGCCAGATACAGAGTCGCCACCTAAATATTTTTTAAAAATGGGGAAATTTAGGAAACCCTGACTCGGTGCCGAAGGCCACATGTCCGTCATCACCGGAGTTGTCTCGGCTCGGGAGCTTGGGTACGATCGGGGAAGGTCAGCTATGAGCACCCCCTTTCGCCCGGTCCGAAGACCGGCCTCTACTAACCGTGATATCAGTTTTTGAAAACTTTACGTGTTCTTAAACCAATTATTAGTCTAGAATTACTATGTTATGCGCACAACAAACAAGTATAGACCAAATCGCCCAAATTGGAACA